TAGTAGTAGTAGTAGTAGTTAGTAGTTAGTAGTTAGTAGTACGTAGTACGTAGTAGTAGTACGTAGTACGTAGTAGTAGTAGTAGTAGTAGTAGTAGTAGTAGTAGTAGTAGAGAGAGAGAGAGAGAGAGTAGAGAGAGAGAGAGAGAGAGAGGCACGTTTCGGCAGATCCCTTGGATTAAGGATGTGGAGGTTGAAGAGGTGGTGAATATGAAGAGGTAATGAATGTCTGGTCAAGAGAGACAGAGAGATAGAGAGAGAGACATGGAGAGAGATAGAGAGGATAGGTGGAGATTGGCTCCAAATTAAGCGGAACGCAATCCAACCTTGAATGGAGCTCGATCTATTCCAAATAGGAACGTATTTTTCTTAGATGGCACGTGACTCAACTTTAAATGGGATCCCGTTCCTATTGTCTATGGAAGCGCGATCCTAGTGAGCATGGGAACACGACTTCATTTTACATGGAACACGTTCCCTATTAAATAAGGACCTCGATCCCAATGTATCAGGAACACGCTCCTTGTTCTTACAGGATCTCGATCTGTAACTTTTACCCTCATGGGAACTCGCTCCCCGAGCTTCAGAGCTTTAGGCAACTCTCAATCCGACGCTCCCGCTCCCGGTAACTATGGTTTGAACCTTTTTATTTAGTCTAAAAGTTTATAATTAGAGTTGAAAATAGATATCATAGCATCATAAGTATTTTTGACACCAAAATTACATCTTACGACAAAGTTTGAAAGTGTACATTACTTTGATTGTTTAAGATTGCAACCACACCCTTATGTTTAACATAGGAATATTATCTTTATCAAGTACATAAATAATACTTCAAAGTTTTACTTCTTAAAGTTAGTTGATAAATGGAAGGGGTTACATCCCAAACTTTGGGCTCCTAAAAGTAAGGCTTTACCTAGGAGTAAGTGGACTGTAACCCTAAAGATACATAAATTTTTTTTTACTTTACTTTATGTCCTGACACGGATTCCCTATTGTTAAGTCCTATCTTTTATATTTATTTTGTAACCGAAACAAATTCTGTCTATGGTGCTCCACAAATAGGACAACGAAGGGTGAAGTTAGGAAGACATTGCAAAGGAAGTCCAACTGTCAAGTTATGTTTTCATTTCTTAGCTAACAAATGACCTCTTAAAAATCTGGTGTATTGAAAGTTTGAAACCGAGCCAAGGATGAATTGGCATTAATAAAAAATAACAAAAGGCAATAAACATTGGGTGCATCCGTAGCTGTAGAGGCAAGGTACACCTTCAAATTTTATCATGGTATATAATTTTGATGTAAAATATTTTTAAGATTATCTCAAAATTTATTTTTATATCTAATTATAAAATTTTAAATTTAAAAATGGTTAAAATCAAGTAGATCTATAAACATATGAAAATCTTGAAAATGGTCGGTGTAGATAATATGTTAGTAAAATGTCAC